TATTTTATTCTTCTTCCTTATTAAAGTAGTTGTACATACAAGTGTAGTAGTATTTTTTTAGTAATAACTGGTGTACAGTTAATTGCAATCTTACAAAAGTTAGATATCGGTATGCGTCCAACCACGCTTTGCAGTTGACTTCACTGTCACGACATTCAAGAGCCTATGTGTGGTAATTACCGGTGTGTACTTCCAAATTTGATGAAGCGTGGCTACCGGTGCATGTGTTCACTACTCATCTACTACTAATAGTACTAGTACTAATTAAGGTACGAGATAGTACTACAGTACTTTGAACTATTAATATTATATAATAGTACTTCTTATAGATAATAGTAGTACCATATAGTATCTGCTCTAATACAGGGTGTACTGTACCTACTACTAAATAGTAATTACTATTACTAGTACTTAGTAGTAGGCGCAGTAGAGCATGGATTATGGCTCAAAGTCAGTGGGCTCACTATTCTACTTATTCTACCTCTTTAACTAGAATGCGCTAAAACACGAAGTTGCCCACAATTCTAACCTGTCACAATACCTGCCGTATAACCAACCACATCTGACCCGCTAGAGGAGATTACCTTTCGAACGCCCTTTGACTAGCGTTACGCTTGCTACGCATTCACTGGTCACCCATTGATCCCGCTGCCAGCTCTGTTCCCTGTATGGGGCAACAGTTCCCGTTTTCGACTGCATTACGAAATGTAAAGACTATTGATACTACTACATACTTACTAGTATGTAGTATCAATACATCATACAAACAAGATTGAAGTGACTGAATTCACAGTCAAATTATATCATACTAGTAGTACATATACTAGTATATGTACTACTAGTATGATATAATTTGACCGTTAATAGTACTCGTCATATTCAAACCATCTTTCCACAGCACATACTATTAATAGTACTACAGTTCGTAGTACTATAATACTAGTACGTAGTACTCTTCATATCCAACCTTCGATGCAAATTCGTCCGATTTTGAGGCAGCCAATGCGATGGCGTCGTGACGCCACGTGCAGTCTTGTCCGGCCCGGCTCGTCCGACATCTGATCTTCATCCGCCACATGTTTGATACAGGACCACACCGTCCACATAAATTCAATCGTCAGACTCTTGCCATGCTCTCCAACTACCGGTAGCAAAGTGAATTGGTAGTAGTAGTTCCCAACAAAATATATAGGGCACGACAGCACAAGATATCCTCCGACGTACCACCAGCCACAGAATACTAATCGAGATTTCCCCCAAATCATCCCTTGCATTTGGACTGTCGGACAGTTCTACAGACTGTATCTGGTTCACAGTCTTTCCAATACTTGATCGTGACACCAGGATGTGCCACTCCATTACTCCATTTCAATACAAAATCAACTCGCTTTTTAACCTTGTATACGAGTACTATTTTAATAGTACTCGTATAACATTGCCGTATGGTATACTATTTTAATAGTATACCATACGGCAAAGTCGGACTTGCTGAGTCCCAACTGATAGACGACTATCTATCTTCTATACTAGTACTATTAGTAGTACCATGTGACAAGTACTGCGTCGTACTTCAGTACTAGTAGTACAGTAGTGGTTCAACAAATGGAGGCTACTCACCGGCAGTGTCTGTACTTGTCATCGCGACCGACAAACTTGACCTGGTGGCAACATTTCAAGGGGGGATTGACCTTTCAGTTTGGAATTTGCCATGGCCAGTGTACACGACAACAACCGAGCGCTCGACTTGGAGCAGCGCGTGTCATATGTGCACTCGAACGCAGGTGGAACCAAGGAAGGCGGCGACAACTACGTCGATGTCAAGACCCCCGGCGAGCTCGAAGACGGCGCGATCGTGGACGGCGGCGCGCTCAACCTGTTTTCGCGCGAAGCCCTGGGTTTGTTCATGCAATATGGCGCCATCGGGGTCATCTACGGCATGATTCCGACGCTGAGCTACCCTATCTTCACCGTGTACCTCAACTTGGAGGGGTACCAGACGGCAGCGTATGGGGTGCTCGTGACGTTGGGGTGGTCGTTCAAAGTCGTGTTTGGGATGCTCTCGGATGTGTTTCCAATCTTTGGGTACCGGCGCAAGCCGTGGATGCTCATCGGGTGGATCGTTACGATGATTTGTCTGTCGTTGATGGCGTTCGACAGCTTGGGCGAGCCCTATTGCAACCGCGACAAGACCAAAACGTGCGGGTTGGCGCTGGAAAAGGTGCCCAAGTCCGAGCTCCAGCACTACAACTTTGACGCCCCTGACCAAGGCACCAAGTTTATCATTTTGTCCATCTTTGTCTCGTTCGGGTACGTCACGGCGGCGTGCGCGTCCGACGCGATGGTGGTCGAGTACGCCCAGCGCGAACCCGTGGCCATCCGTGGCCGCGTTCAGACGGCCATCTACACGGTACGCACGCTCACGGGCATCCTCGCGTCGCTCGTGTCTGGCTTTGGCCTCAACGGCGCCAACTACAACGGGTCGTTCTCGTTCTCGATGGCGCCGAATGTGCCATACCTGCTCTGCCTCGTGCCATGCGTACTAGTGGTCATCTCGACGTTCACGCTGGTCGTGGACAAGAAGACAGAGGGCGTGCCGTTCAAGCTGTGGGTCGGCAACTTCTGGGACTTGCTCCAACAGCGCGTGATGTGGCAGATCTGCGCGTTTCGAGTGGTCGTGTCTGGCTTGCAGTCGATTGGCGCCACGCCCGGCAGCCCCATCTCGGCCTACTGGGCCAAAGTCGAACCCCTCAATGACTCGCTGTCGTCCGTGCTCGCGAGCGGCATCTTTGCCGCCGTCTTGGTTGCCATGGGCAAGTGGGGACTTCATTGGAACTGGCGGTACGCCATCGCCGCCGGCACCATCGGCGTCATGCTCGTGGACGGGTTCGTGCTCATGTTTACGATCTGGGACGTCGTGCGCAACCAGTGGTTCTTCACGGGCGTGGCGCTGGCCGACAACGTACCCGGCGGCATCCGCTTCATCGTGGCCACGTACTGCGCCGTCGAGATCGCCGACGTCGGCAACGAAGGCGCGACCTATGGCCTCGTCACGACCATCGCCAACCTCATGGGTCCCCTCGGGTCGGTCATCTACAAGTACGTGGACTCGTTCTTCAAGGTCACGACCAACGACATCAAGGCCGACACGACCGAGGTGCGGTGGGAAGTCACGTACGTGTACTTGATCTCGTACTCGTGCCGGCTCTTGTCGTTGTTTGGGCTGCTGCTGCTGCCGCCCCAAAAGGCCGAAATGCAAGCGTTGAAGCGCAAGGGCGGCCGCAGCAAACTCGCCGGCGCCCTCGTCGTGTTTGGCTTCTTTAGCGCGATTTCGTTTGCCGTGACCAGCAACGTCATGTCCATCTACCCGTCCACCAAGTGCTTCCGCATCGCCGGCGGCAACGGCAAAATCGACCCCGCCACGGGGCTGTGCCCAGTCAAAAAGTAGAAACCCTACATACCACGGGTTGCATATAATAACGTTGTGTCGAGTGTGTCGTAATATATATATATATTGTCCTCTTTTACCTCAATTTGTTTTGGACTTTTGTGCTCATTCGCCAAATCTAGCATCGATCGATTCTTTGTACTGACTTTTGTATGTAACAATCGTCCAGTGTCACACTAATTTAAGGCACACATTCATTCGATGTTGGAGTGGTCGATGAGCCTGCTTTGATTGGCCACTTGATTGGTGTTCAGGACAAATCCCACATACAAAAATCAAGATAATAATAGCTACTACAATATTCAAAATGGTGGGGTTCGCACTGATTCTCCAAGCCCATAATTGGTGCAGATTGAGATATAGTGCGGTCCGCACTAATACATGTGCCGTAGGTCTAGTGATATGGTTGAAATTAGTGCAGTCCGCACTACCACTACGCACTAATTACGATCAACGGTGTACAGATTTCCAGACCCCGTCGAATCGAATCGACGCTATTGGCTAATCCAATTTTGAGGGGATTTGATTGCGTCTTACAGAAAGACAAGTATATTCAACCAATCACAACTCCAGCGTGATTCAATATTGATTAGCCAAACCGCGCGAATTCTGGAAGTTATTGGCGAATTCACAATATATATGGAGTTTTTTAAATTAATCTCGCTACTAACGTTATCGTTAGTAAATCAACGAATCAAAACCCAGAACACCAATCAAGTGGCCAATCAAAGCAGGCTCATCGACCACTCCAACATCGAATGAATGTGTGCCTTAAATTAGTGTGACACTGGACGATTGTTACATACAAAAGTCAGTACAAAGAATCGATCGATGCTAGATTTGGCGAATGAGCACAAAAGTCCAAAACAAATTGAGGTAAAAGAGGACAATATATATATATAT